TGAAGTGTTAAGAAAGGCCTGGAGTGGGGTTTTTTTTTAAAGAGAGCAAGAAGAGAGGAGAATTCAAATCGGAGGACAACAGAAAGATGCAAACCTGACTGAGAATATTTGATTGTGAATTAATTCAAGTGGCTTATGGGATAGATTGACACTGTTGATTAGGAATGACTTGAGATACTTGATTTAGATCAGCCACTTAACCTGCCTCTATTTTTCTTGCTGAGTTAAAGCATAGTGTTAAATTATAGAGCCACAGAATGTAAAGGTTGAAGACAGCCCTGAGACCATGGAAAGCAACCCCTGCAGATATCCTGACAGTTGGCCATCCAGCCTCTTGAAACATTTTTTGAGAAATTGAGTCTACCGCTTCCTGTCCCACTGGTGAACATCTCGTAGTGCTAGGACATTTTTATCAGTGCCCAGCCCAGTTCAGCTTCCTTTTCCTATAAACCCCTTGTTTCATGATCCTGCTGTCTTCTGGAACACCTCTGAGCATGACTCCTTCCAGATGTTTGAAAACAGCTGTTGGGTTTTCCCATCTCTAGCCCTAACACACCCAATGCTTCTCATGGGTGCTGTATTTCAGGCTACTTACCATTTTGGTGGGTCATCTCTGGACTCCTCTGGTCTATTTTACGAAAACCTTTTAATTTAAATTTGCCTTCCCCAACCGGGTGTAACCCAGATGGTTGCTTACAACCAATATATTTCATTTGGGCGTAGGGCTTCCTCCTTTGGGGCAGAGGGGAGACTAGAGAATCTCTAATGTTTCCTTGATGTAAGGATGTGGCTAGTCTTTCTGTCCCTTCCATCTTCCCAACATTTGGAACTCAGCATCAAAGGCACATATGAGAGAATTGTTCATTACGCTTACTGTGCTAATCTCAGACACTGCAATGAAGACAGCCTAGTCTTGGAAGCCTCCTCTACTCAGCTACACCCACCAAGATATTAGAAATAGTGATAGTGGTGTAAATGCATGTTTTATTCTGTGAGAAAGCACAATGATGGAGAGGCTTGGTGGGCCCAGGCTAAAGCTTATGATGGATCTGGCTAGTTGGGACACAACTAACTCTCTCCAGGCTTTGAGGATTTGTCCTTCTTTGTCCTCACACAAACTAGAATCCACCTGGAGCGTGTGGCCTCAACTTCAGTGCCACAGGAGGACTTGTCATCATTCCGTGGGCCGTGCTGGAACCAGATGTGGAATACACGTTTGACCTCACCATCTCAAAACCAGGCATGGATTCAGAAGCCACAAATCAAACCGTATGTATGAACGAGGCTCTTTTCTCCTGCTTGTTCTGCCCTCCATGCAAACTCTTTTCATGGTGCCAAAGCTGATGTTTCAAAGTAATGTGGAAAGAAAAGGGGGATATTTTCCTTGGGGATCTTCCTCACAAGGAAGCTGGCATACAGCCAAGCAAACTGCCACCGCCGGCATCATTATCCTCAAGAATGCTTCTTGTGGAACTTGTAAAAAACACAACATGTGGGTTTCTGCAAACCGGTGTTCAGGTGGAGGGTGTACATCTCCCTAAAGAAAAAAGGGGGAAAAAGAGCAGCAAGTTAAGAGGGTGAGGAAGCCTCTCCTGGTGAAGTGGTTCATTGGATGGGAAGGGCTATTTGGCCATCCCGTCCCACGCCCTGCTCAGTGAAAGCACCACCTGCCTGGCCTCTGCTGGGGGGCATCCAGTGGAACCCACCTTCTCCATCAAACTGCCAAGAAATCTCACCAGCACGTCCTCTGGTAAATGAGCTGACTGGCTGCCTCCCTGGCAGCCATATTTGAGAGAAGCAATGAATACCAACAATGGAGAATATTTGTATCTCAGGGTTGACGTGAGGGCTCCTTGGTGCTCTCTGAGCTTGATTGTTTTCTAGCAAACCTTTCATTACCCAGCTAGGTAACGTCATCAGTGCTGTTGATGATGTTAACTGGTTTGGGTAATGAAACGGCTACAAGAAAACAACCAAGCTCAGAGAGCACCAGTGACCGATGGACGCTTAGCACCCCTGAACAGTTCAGGAGTAGCCAAGTGGATTCGTACTGAACACTTTTGATCTCAGGCTCTTTCAAGAATCTGCGATGGGAGACCTTAGTGGGAGAGGTGGGCCTGGTTTAGTGTCCGATCCCTGGAATGAGAACCAAGGCCTGACGTAGTTTTGCCAACTCCAGAGATTGCCCTTTCCTGCACTTGAGCCTTAAAAATGTGGCTCCTGGCCCAATTTGGGAGAAGGAAGAAGGGACATCCTGTCCATCTAGAACAGTGGTGGCGAACCTATGGCACGCATGCCAGAGGCGGCACTCAGAGCCCTCTCTGTGGGCACGCACGCCATGCCCCGGAGATGGCAACCATCCCTCTTCAATCAGCCACCTGCTAACTCGCCGAGGTCCCATATGGCCGGATGCATCCCAGCACCCATGCGCTCGCTGGCCTCTGTGTGCAGGGGCCGATGGTGTCAGGCAGCCGCCGGCCAGGCCCCTGCCTCGCCTTGCCCTGCAACAATGGCTCCCCCACCCTGCCTTGCCTTGCCTCGCCTCACCCCGCAGGACAAGCCTCCTGCCCACCGCCCCACCTGCCAGAGACCCCCTGGATCTCCCCCAACTCTGCCCGGCTCCCACAGGCATCCCTCCCCACGAGCAACATCGAGGTGACCGCGCCCACCTTGGCCACACCCACCCAGTCTGCCATGACCACCACAGCCACGCCCACCCAGTGGGCCAAACCCACCTGGCACCCGGCGATAAACAAGTGGGTTTTGGGTTGCAGTTTGGGCACTCGGTCTCTAAAAGGTTCGCCATTACTGATCTAGAAGATGTACGTGTACTTGTTGTGTCTCGTAGCTCAGCAACAACTGTTGGGGTGCCGGGCTGTTAGCTCTAGCCTTGCAAAAAACCAGGAGAGTCTGGTGGCCCCTTTTCTGATTGCAAACTTCTGCAATAAAACATATTAGTTGAAAAAAAAATGCTGCCAGACTTCTTCTCCTGACTTTTGCTACCGTGCCCGAACAACAGCTCTCCTCCTATAATATCCCTGGGTGAACTGAGGTCCCGAAAAGGGGTTCCCAGACTGGGAGCCCAGTCAGCACCTTAAAACGGTTCTCCTCTGATGCCAGGGCTTCTGCGCAGGCAGGTGCACCCAGAGAGCCGGTGTGGGGGGGCTCTTCAGAGTCTCGGGCAGCTGGGGAACACTTCCAGCCTGTCCCCACCGCTTCGAGGCTGAAGCCCACGCGCCCCGCAGGAGCCAGGTTTCCTCTGTGCAAAGAGGGGCCACCGTGGGAAACATGGGGGAAGCTCTGGGCTCCTCACTCTGTCAGGTGTGTGTGTGTGTGTGTGTGTTCAAGGCTTCCTTTGTTTTTCTTCACCCGCCGCTTGGGAGACGTAGCGGGAGGGACAGCCCCACCCGTCTCTTGAATCCATGCCTCCTGGAGGACTGGACTGAACTGCGGGAAGCCAAAAAAACCTTATGGTTTAGATCACCAGATTCAAGGGCTGCTTAGCAATTAGAGAGGCAGCTTGTCTTCAAGTGAAAACCATAATTACCTTCATCATTCCCTCCTTCTCCCTCTCTCCCTCTCCCTCTCCCTCCTTCCCTCCCTCCCTCTCTCATTTTTTTGGGAAACCGGAGGTTGGAAGGAAGGGTGGGGGAAAAAATAAAAGAACTCACGTCAAATTGATAGTCTTTCAAGGACATTCCGTACTATCTACTTCGCCTATAAGAATGCCAAACAAATGGTCTGACTGGGAATTGGCCGGGCCGGAGGAGCAAACGGGGAGGAGGCGTCCGGGTCTCTTCAGAGTTTGCCATGCAGAGAGCATCTCGATGGCTCCCGCGAGAAGCAGGCGGACAGCCCTGATTTTGGGGTGTCCGGGTGGCATTCCCAGATTCAGGAGGGTCTTCTAGGCAATAACCAGAGTGCCAGAAGAGAGACCAGCTTCATGAGTCAGGATTTTGGAGCATGATTTGCGCTGCCCTTTTGCTGCCTTTTCAAAGCACACCGTTCAGTTTGAGTCAACTTAATCTCCTGGGCTAGATTTTCCTGGCTGGCGTCTGTTGAGCGGTCCTCGACTTACGTCCACAATTTAGCCCAAACTCTCTATGGTTCAGTGAGACATTTGTTTAATTGCGTTTTGCCCCATTTTAGGACCTTTCTTGCCACAGTTGTTAAGTGAATCTGACTTCCCCCATTGACTTTGCTTGTCAGGTCGCAAAAGGGGACACTGCAACGGTCATAAGTATGAAACAGTTGCCAAGTGTCCGAATTTTGATCACATGACCACGGGGTTGCTGCAAAGGTCGTAAGTGTGAAAAATGGTCATAAGCAGTGGTGGGATTCAGCCGGTTTGCACCACTTCGGCAGAACCGGTAGCTAATTTTGTGTTGCCCAGGCCCAGAACGGACTTTCGGAAGCGGCATCCACACAGAGAACCGGTGGTTCACCTATTTGAATCCCACCACTGGTCATAAGTCACACTTTTCAGTGCCGTTGTAACGTCGAACGGTTACTAAATGAACTGTTGTCTTATAACTGCTGCAAGATTATTAATTGCTCAATTTTGGAAAACGAAATGTTTACCTACTATAGAAGATTGGGTATTTAAAGTCTCAAACTTAGCAGAAATGGCCAAGATTTCCGCTTATGTGAAGGATTACTCACAAGAAAGATATATATCGGTTTGGAGAAGATGGATTGATTATATTGAGTTTAAATATGGAACAAAAAAATATCATTTAGTTTTTGAATGAATTTCTGAGTATTATTTTTGTTTAAAAGTTATAATGTTATTTAGTTTTATTTTTAATATTTAAAATTATGTTAATATTATGGTATTTAATAATTGTATATTTGTTTTAAAAGAGAGTTAAAGGAAGTTATAGATTTGTTAGATTAATAGTTAATTAATGTTAGTTAGATTATGATTATTTCATTGTTAATCCTGTGATTGGCTCTGGGAAGTGAGGGGGGGGAGGGAGGGTTGGGTTTGGGGGAGGGGGGGATTTATATTGTAAAATTTTATAAAATTTTCAATTAAAAAAAAACAACCAAATGAACTGTTGTAAGTCGAGGACTTCAGGACTTAATGACCACGGTCTGGAACAGATTTCCTGATGTTTCGCTGTCAACGGAGGCCGGCATCTTTGGAGGCAAAATGCATAGACCACCATGAGTTCTCTAGACCATGGTCTCCAAGTCCTGAAGCCCAACACTGCCCATTCCTTAACTGTCTAGCTCAGGGGTCTTCAAACTTGGCCCTTTTACGACTTGTGGACTTCAACTCCCAGTTGAAGTCCACAAGTCATAAAAGGGCCAGGTTTGAAGACCCCTGGTCTAGCTATTAGACTTTCAGTGCCTGTCAATTAGTTGGGTTTTGTAACTCTCAATATCCCTTCCTTCTTTTATCTGAGGATCTTGAGGAAAGGGGAAAGCTTTTCTTCCTCAAAACCTGTTCAGGAAATATTTGAGGACCAGTCCTAAGGCATCCTCTCTCCTCTTTAATGAAAGCTTAGTTATGTTGACTATCCCTGGCTCTCTGCTTGGCCTCCTTTCCTCCTGCTCTGCTTGGTGGGCGACCTGTTTTCAGGTTTGCATGGTTCCTGCCCTGTAGGCTAAAAGAGCCATTGGAAAATGTATATGCAGTATGGAAAAGCATAATTGCTCCGTCTGTGATCCCCCCTTTTCAGGATGTGGTGAACTTATCATGGGCCCCATCTATTCAAATCCAGCCTCTCCGCCTTCTGCCCACCGTTCTCAGGAAGGAAGAGCTGGGTCTTAAGTGCCAGGTCTTCAGGCTGGTAGGGAAATAAGAGAACAGCTTCTGGAAATCTCTTTTCAGGAGAGAGCTGGCCTTTGGGCAGGGCCGACTCAGAAGGCTTTTGGACCAGCATCTTCACCAGCACCGCTTCCATGATCGTGTGTGTGTGTGTGTGTGTGTGTGTGTGTGTGTGTGTGAGAGAGAGAGAGAGAGAGAGAGAGATGCAAGGAGCCCCAAATGCCGCCATTAGAATTTGGTGCTTGGTTTTCTCTCTTCTGCCTTTGGCTAGAAGGGAACCAGCATAAAAGAGACGGGTTCTGAAGAAGAAATAAGGGCACCGAAGAATTAAAGAAAATGTGGGGAGATGCCCTAGCAATGCAGGTCCTTGGTGTACAGTTTGAACTTTCTGCTTGGGTATTTCTTGGCCTGCCATGCACGTTGTCTTCCCCTCGCAGCAGGAGGATGTGAAGAGGAGTCATCTGAACGTCTCGGGCTTTCTTTGCTCTCTCTTCCCTCCCAGGTCTTGATGAAGAAGGGGACGGTCCCCATCGTGTCCCTGGAGTGCGTCTCCTGCAAGGCACAGTCTGTCTATGAGGTCAGCCGGAGCTCCTACGTGTACTTGGAGGGGACCTGCTTGAACTGCCAGAACAATTCCAACCGGGGGGTAAGAGGCCTGCAGGGTGTCTCTGGGGCTCTGTGGGAGAGGTTCGGCTACAGAAGGGGCTTCTTCTTACTGAACCATTTAAGGGGCCTTCAGGGCCTTTATCTTTTCCTTTTTCCCTTTCCCTTTCCCTTTCCCTTTCCCTTTCCTTTCCTTTCTCTCTTCTCTTCTCTTCTCTTCTCTTCTCTTCTCTTCTCTTCTCTTCTCTTCTCTCTTCCCTCCCCTCCCCTCCCCTTCTCTTTCCCTCTCCTCTCCTCTCCTTCATTTTTCTTTTCTGCAAGATGCACACAGACAAGTCCAGTCAAAATGGGATTTTATTTCCCTCTCTTTGAAGCATATTGAGAAGGCCTTGTTAACAACTTAACTCTCAGCAAGACACGTTCTTATCCATCCCTCTGTGCTGCAGTCTAGATTGCTTCACAATGTTGTTGGCAGACCTCCACAACCTTTTGTGAAAGACGTGCTGTCAAGCATCTCCAGCACCTCCAGGCTTCAGCAATACCTCCAGCTCTGCTGCCACGTGGGTTGCCACCAAAGAGCTAGTCGGGGTGCCAGCTCTTCCTCTGTGGCCTGCCATTGTTTCTCATTCATGGATGTTCCCTTTCCCCTCTACTGAGTTGCGAGGCCTATTTTAGGGGTGTCACAAGGAAGAAGCAGACTGGGATATGTAGGTATAGAAATAAGAATGAGTTTCTCTTGAGGTTTGTAGAAGCAATAAATGACATAAGACCTTCCAAATAATAGTGATTTGGCCAAGGACAACTCACACACACACACACACACACACACCCCTACACAAAACACAGATACAAATCCCTGTTTGCCTTTAGGGCTGCCCAGGGCCGGGAAACCAGGGGCGTTCTTTTTCTTTTGCGTGTTCTCCTAAAAGTCCTTGGTGGGAAGACAGAGATGCCCTACCAGAGCCCAGACTCTGTTGCAGGACCAGCTTCCACGAATTGGTATCCTTCGGCCTTGGGGTCTTTCCACCCGTCTCCCACCTGGTGCGCAGGGAGGATGGTCCAGCGGGCTGGAGCTGCACTCCCCTGGCTCAAGAATCTCGGCCTCGCCACTTGCGTCTCCTCGAAGGTGAATTGCCAGCGTGGAACTGCCGGCGTCAGGGATTCATCGGGATCCATCTGGAACCTTTTCATTAGCGGTTTCAATAACGTTTCCTGTTGTTCCTCCTCGCCTGGCGAGGCTTATCTGTGAGATCAGCTCTTGTCTTCCACAGATCATTTTTCTTCTGGCTTCAGCCCTTCCCATCGCCTCAATATCCCGGCTGCCTTTTCAAATAAAAATGCATTCTGGTCAGAAAAAACATAAGCAAAACATTGAGTGGAAGCATCTGAGGGAGGGTGGGAAGACGGGAGCAGAATTTGAGCTGATGCTTAAACCTGCAGCATATTTTGAACACCAGTAATTTCTGCAGTGAGAGGCAGCGTTGGGCTTTTCCCTCTCAGCCGGTTGCTCCATTTTGAGATTTATGAGGTCATTTTCCAGCTGGATAAAGTCTACGTTTGTTATTTCAAAAATCTGGGAGTCTGAGAAAATGCACTCCAGTCATCTCAGTGATCAAAGATCCCATCCTGGTGGTTCCCTTAATCTCTCTTGCATTTGTGTAATGTTGCCTTGTACCGTGTGAGTAGCAGCCCCCTCCTGTATTTAATGCGGAGGCCAAGTGAAAGCAGTGGCGCCTGGTGGAAAAATCCATCTCTCCTTGCCAGATTTCCCTTGTCCTTTTCTTCTGAGATCATACATTGGAAGGTGAGTTAATGCAGGAAATCTGAAGTGGATCATGTCTGATTTTTGAGAAGATCACCCGTCAAACGATTTGGTCTTCTCCCTGTTTTCCTTGGATCAAACACCTGGGAATGGGGCTGAAATGTCAGCCCCTAATTTGGCCAGAGTCTGAAAATGGACCCTCCCCCTTTTATCAAAAAGTACAGGGATAATACCTTAAACTGCAGTTAGTTAAAAAAAAAAAAAAAGTAAACCTTGGGGGTCTTTTCTCTCTCCCCCTCCCTTTTTTTTTTAAGACTAAGCCGAGATGGACAGCCCAGAGCTTCAGAAATGAATCTCTGCTTTTGGACAGAAGATCAACCTCTACGGGGGATGCCGAGATGAGCCTGGCCTTGCGTCCGTGGGCTCTGGAGGACGGGGAGGGCTACACGTTCACTCTCTACATCACAGACCTGGCTACTGGGGAAGATGGCTATGCCTCCATTGACCTGTTTCCCAACCAGCCCCCCTTTGGGGGATCATGCCAGCTTTCTCCTGCAAGTCCTGTCCAAGCGTTGGCCACCAAGATCCACTTTGAATGTGCGGGTAAGGATGTGGAACGCCAGGTCCCACCTCTGGGCCTTTGAGGATGTAGGAGAGGACGGGGGCTGAGCCCGAGGGAGGGGTAAAACGCATCATAAGTCACCATCCCCTCTCCCCTCCTCTGTGCCCGGCTGCCAAGCCGGAAAAGTCGGGGACTGCTGCTGTGCACCTTTCTCCTTTCACTCTCTCACTGTTTGGCTGCAGGCTGGAGAGATTCGGTGGGGGCAGACCCCCCCTTGGTGTACATCCTCATGGCCACCCGCTGCCGCCTTGGCCACTGCGATGAATTCTTGGTGTACAAAGGAAGTCATCCTGCACACGCGGCCTTCCTGCCCCCCGGCTTCCAAGAGCGTGGCTCCCTCGTGTTTGTCTC